TTTCTCCAATATTCAAGTTGGAAATAACAAAAGCAACATTTAGTGAGCACAAAGCTGATAACAGATAAAAATCTACCACTGATATCGATGAATATCGCTTTATTTGCAGGCAAATACAAATATCAGCCAATACAGATGTTTTTGTCCTCTACTAGTGCTGTGGAGCCCCTTTTATAGTTTCACACTATTCTAGTAAGCAGTGCCAGTAACGCGTGAAGAAACACAGCAATGTGTCAGAAAAGGCTGGTAAACATCGACGTAAACAACGCAGGATTTAAAAGAAGAGAAAACCTGAGAAAATCGGCTTTGAAAATGTTTTATGAAGATAGAAATACATTCGACACGTTCGTTAGACCTCAAAGATCACCACGTTGTGTTTTGGTGAGATTGTAATAATAAACAATCATAAAAGTAAAGATATGACCGGTCAAACATGGTGTTACAGTCAGCGACACATTAACACAAATAGTAATCACAGACTCTTTTGTATTTTATTTGATTACACGTGGTCACTAGAGACACGGTTGTACTCTGATGACAGGTGACACCTGTCTGTATAACAGGTGTGAACTGTCGTTAAAGCAGTAAATAATGTTCAAGAAGAGACGAATGTGTCCTATAAACAGCTGAATAAAGAGGCTCGAGTAGTTTGAAGTATGGTTTTTGTTTTCTTTTATTGACTTGTAAACACTTGGTGACTCACACTGAACAAAGGTGGTACTTACCTACCCAACTAGTCGATCATTAAAGCAACAGATGGGAGGAGCGTGTTACATAAGTAGACGGGTAGTTTTGTTTAAAGCTGCCTAACATGCAGACTGTGAGGAGCCTGTTTTATAGACAGCCAGAGCTTTGTTGTTGTTGTTGTTGTTGTTACTGGCTGATGAGCGTACGGTGGAAGAAGCAGAGAGACTTGTATAAACGATTCATTTAGATGTTTTACTTTGTGTCTCGTTAGTTCTGCATTTGAGTAATTGATCAGAAAAAGTATCTGCAGCAATTCTGATGTTAGATTTAAAATTAAAATATTCTCAAATATAAGGAGTTGCTGCTTTTCTGTGGATTATAGTCTCTAGCAGTGGTTTTCAACATTTTAAAGTCACAACCCCGAGAATAATCAGGGTGTTGGTGTTTGCGACCCCCCGTCTGCCTGCAGGGTTGAGTGTAATATAACACATTAAAGCCAACAGACTCACACAGGAAGACCACACACACACTTTAATATGTGTGTTTAGGTTTATTGTAATGGCTCCTTCACAGTCCTGAGTTCACGTCTGCTGGAGGCCTAAAACAGCAATAATAGAAACACGTGAGGAAAACTGTTAACACGTATAAAAACAGAGTTTATCCTATAGTGTATAAAGTGTTGAATGTCATTAAAGAGATAGCTGAGAACTTTCTCTCGTTCCACACTTTTACTCTCCACAACCATTTGAGATTAACCCTGAACCCAGAAACTGTTTATATCCATTAACTGATTCATTAATTATGAAAATCTCACATACTTTTATTTTCCTGACAACATTCCCTTCCACGGTGACGACTAACCAGTTTTTCTCCGTCAACAGGGGATCGTATTTGTTATCCAAGAGGCAAAGCTGCTCCTCTCTGTCTTCCAAAGCGTATCTCCACGTAGACCCTCCCCACCACGCCTCGTCCTCGCTCACACTCAGGCACTCCCGTTCCGGCTACCCTCACTGTTACCGAGGCCACGCCCTCAGCCGCGGCCACAGCTCCGCCCTGCTCGCCCGCTCCCTACACAGCTCAGGTGTTTGGCTCCAGGACATAAAACAAGAGGACACTAAGGCCTCGCCCGCTGCTGCCCAGGATGCTTCTCTGGGGGCCAAAAAGGACTCTGTGGCTGCCGCAGCCCAGTCCCAGCCTCCGTCTGCTCCCGCTCCCACGACGTCCACCTCCACCACCACCACCACTGCAGCAGCAGCCGCCGTCCCTCCCGTGCAAGAGAGGGCGGTGTTGAAAAAGTCTCTGTATCAGAGGGTTGTGGATGAGATGAAGCATTACTACAATGGCTTCCGGTTACTTGGCATCGACATCAAGATTGCAGGCAGGATGGTGTGGAGGCTGCTGCACGGACAGCTGCTCACCCGCAGGGAGAGGAGGAGGGTAAGAGGAGCTCAGTGTACATTATATGGTCTGCAGCGTTATTGAGTTTGTTTATATTACAGGGTTTATTTATCTTCAGCTGGGAACCTGTGCAATGGCAGGAACGGGCATCCAGATCATTTACAGTTTGCTATTGTGTCGTGCATAAAATAACGGACTTGGGAGAGACGAATAATTAAAGTTGCAATGGTGAAAAACAAGAGCTTCCATCACATTACAGACAAACACCTTTCCTGAAACAGTTTTGTTGTGTTTGCATTTAATGTTTTTTTTAACCATTTAACCAGAACAACTCACAATAAATGAAGAATATTTCAGTTAAGTATGTATCTCTTAAATCTTTATATATTGAGCACGAAATGTCTTCAATATCACGACTTCTCTCTTTCTTTTGAATTTTTCGATTGGAGAAAATAAGTAGTAGTAATGTAAAGATGTAAAATTGGGTTTGAGAGAACAATTAAAACATGAATTGATGCCTTACAAAAACAATTATAATGTAGAAAAGTTTTTATAACCATCCGACGAATAAGAAATGTGACTCTTCACCCTTTAATAAACAATAAAACACAAAATAGACTTCAATCTCACCTAAAACCTGAACGTAACTGTGCACGCAGATATCTTTTGGTTAAATTCAGCAGCACATGAGGCTTTATACTGTAGTTTTCTATGCAAACATTAACATCTTTGTACACGTGTGTCCCAAATTACTTAGAAGTGTTTGGGTTTTTTCCCGCCGGTCTTCTGTGTTGATCGCCTTGTATCGCCCTCAGCTCACAGCAGCATGTCTGTCTGGTTCTTTAAAATCGTCTGGCTTCTTTTCCTGTCATTACAAAAGACTCGGCTCTATAAGTCGTCGCCCTGGTTCTTCTCCTCTGTCGCTCCTCCTCTGGGCGGTAATCAGTCAGACATATTTTATGGCTTAAGGGTTCCTTTGAGAGTTTCACACCTTTTACATGTCAATAAGGAATGTGTACTCCGTGTTCCCGAAGTTGTACCAAATGTGAGCAGAAGCAGGCGTGTCTTACAGTAGTTAGACTTTCAGTGTGTCCACCTGCAGACTAGTTTTGTGTCGGAAGGAGCTTTCACGTTGTTCACTAACCTGCAGCGAACAGACGCTGTTAAAACGCCTTAAAAGCCTGAAGTAGGTTAGTGTGTCTGTTAAACTGAGGCTTTAACCTGCTGTGAAAGACACTCGGCTCTAATGTTGATCTGCAGTATTTAGTTGTGAGATCATTTTTACACTATTACACTGATCGACTGAGATATTTACAGTTAATTTATACGTTTCCAATTTTCACTGTCTGTAATATTTTACCATAAGTGTCACGATTCAATAATTAATTATTTGATTGACAAAAACATAATCACCACATACTTTGATCATTGATTTAAAGTTTAGGACATTTCTTTTAAAGAAACAGCTGCATTTTAATCTGAATCTGACCAGTTTACAACCACATGAGAAAGAAAAGAGAATATAGCTTTTCTATTGTGAGGACTTTCTTTCTTATGTGGATGTAAACTGGTCAGATAAAATACTTTTAAAGATGCCACCTGTTGTAAAGCATCTTAAATGTTGATTCTCCGCTGATACTTAGTCTTTACAGTAATGAATATAAACTATTATTTGCTATAACACAGATGCACATTATTGGAGGATTCTCTTCTTTTTTAACAATAATTAAAAATATACTGAGTTTTGAAATGCTGTTTTCAACTAAGAGCAGAGTCATGACACCTGGAAAATGTTGCTGAAATAAACCTAAAATGGATGTCTTTATAAGCTAAACATAACTGGATATATATTTTTCTAAAGTATCTTAAAGCATAAACACATACAAAATATATTTCAGAAGAATCCATCAAATTTAATGAATCATTTTATAGTGAAAATAAACTCAGTGCTCTTTGGTGGACAATCTAAATCTTTATAATATATACACTGTTTCTAAAATGTCTCAAAGATCTTTAATACTTCTGCGACGCCTCGTTACTCGCTGGTCGACGCACACACTCGTACTGCGTCAGTAAGTGGTGAGCTAATATCAGCTGATGATATCAGCCCAGCTCTGGTTTATATTTATTTTAATCCAAGCTGGCTCTACTCACATCTCTCTCAGCTGACATATCATTTAATAAATGTGCTGCTTGTTGTTGTTGTTTACTCACTTTGTTGTTGTGTTTACTTTACACTGTCAGTAAATGTGAAATTGTCAATAGTGATACTTAATTTAATGTGTAGTCCGTCGGTTACAGGTATTCATTTGCAGGTTATGAAACACTGAACTTGCGGTCAGCTGAGTCTTGGTTGAGTTCAGAAAACATAATATTGTTTAAAATGTTAATACTCT